TGTGTGTGTGCTGGTGCACGCATGCCAGTCTTGAGGCTTCAACTCATTGCCTGGGCACAGTCCCTGAGTTTTTTTGCTCAAGACTACGACTCTACCACTTTAGCCACAGCTTCACTTCTGGCCTTTTGGTGGTTATTTGGAGAGAACTCAGGGAGTTTTCCTGCTTCAGGAAAACTGGTTTTGAACCATGATCCTTAGATCTCAGCCTCTTGAGTAGCTAGGATTGCAAACATAAGCTAGTGGCACACAGCTCTTTTAAGTATTGAAACATAGTGATAACATTTGCAGAGTTTAGAAAGGGGGTATACAAGGTACGTAGGGAATGGAAACTGAAAGTGAAGGTCCAAGGGAACTATCTCCAACTTCTGAGCAAAGCAACCTTTGACTGTACTCCTTAATAACTTGTTTTTACTATCTACATTATTGAGAATAATGATAGCTAACCAACTGAATCATTTTGAAGAATAAATGAATTCAATATGTAAATGTGATTGGCAAGGGTTTGATATATGGCAAATAGTTCAGAAAATTATAATTATTATTTATTATTGGTATGTGTCAAACTTCACATACTGTTTGAAAATGTATCAATGTATGTTGAAAATGAACTTTACCACTTGATGGAGATAGGAGGGAAAAACTAGGAGAAAGGGATGGAAGGGGTAATATTCTCTGAGAAGAAACATACTCCTTTTTTGTGTTTTGGTCGGTCATAGGGCTTGAACTGTCCCTGAGTTCTTCAGCTCAAGGCTAGTGCTCCACCACTTTGAGCCACAGAGCCACTTCTGGTTTTCTGGTGGTTAATTGGAGATGAGTCTCACAGACTTTCGTCGCCTGGGCTGGCTTTGAATCATGATTCTCAGATCTCAGCCTCCTGAGTAGTTAGGATTACAGGCATGAGCCACCAGTGTCTGGCCAAGAAACATACTCTTTACCTGAATTGTATAACTGTAAACCCTTATAACCTTTATAAAAATAATAAAAAATTAAAAAGAAAATAAATCAATGAATCAGATAAATCATTTCTTTCCAAGGAATTTGCAGAATGATAGCTGGTAATATGAGGTAAATACATTGAAGAGAACTCTAACCAGACTTATGAGGTGGGTGTAACTGGGGGCTGGAGTAAACCTGGAGAATATAAGAATACATGTCAGGCCAAAAGACCAGTTATTAAACAAAATGGTAATCAGAGCTTTAGGAGGATGGGGAGGAGTGAAAAGATGAAGGTCGAAAAAGGAAACAGGGCAAATCAAAAGGGTTGGCATGGGTCTTTAACCTTTGTGAGGATGAGAAGTGTGTGTGTGTTCTAGGGCTTAACCTCAGGGCTTCTCACTTTTGCTTGTTTTTTTTTTCTTCACTGAATGCTAGTGCGCTACCATTTGAACATTACCTCCATTTTTGGCTTTTTTTTGGTTAATTGGAGATAAGAGTGTCATGCACTTTTCTGCCTTAGATGGCTTTGAACCAAGATCCTCAAATCTCAGTCCCCTGAGTAGCTACAATTATAGGCATGAGTCCCCAGTGTCTGGCTTTGAGACTCTTCTCTGTTTTGTAAAATTGTGGGTAATTATCATTTGCAAATTTGTTGTGCTGGCTAAGTGCAGAATTTCTCCCAAAGCACCTTTCATATTAATAAGGTACTTACTGACTCATGAATGAACAGAAAGCTTTGAAGATTTTAGCAGGTTTGTGTGAAAAGTAAACCAATCTGACATGATAAATGACTTTGGAGGGAACAACATTGAAAACAGCTACAATAATCCAAGAATGAAAAGTCACAATTAGAGAGAATGATGGAAGGCACAACATTTGTCAAGATGTATTTTATACATAACCTGACTTAGGTGTGACCTGTGACTTCTTTGTACAACTACATAATAATAATAATAATAATCAAAATCAGAATGTCACAACAGTAGTGAAAGGCAGAGATTTTAAGGCCTTAGATCAACAGAGTACAGGAATGAGGAAAGAAAATAGATCAAATCTAACCAACAAAGAATCTACTGTATGAGAGATTCGAGATCTCCATTTTTTGGGGGGGGTCTGGTTGTGGGGCCTGTACTCTGGGCCTGGGCACTGGACCTGGGCACTGTCCTTCAGCTCTGCAGCTCAAGGTTAGCGCTCTACCACTTGAGCCACAGTGCCACTTCCAGCTTTTTTCTTTTTGCTTATGTGGTGCAGAGGAATTGAACCCAGGGCCTCAGGCATGCAAGGCAAGTGCTCTACCACTGAGCCACCTTCCCAGCACAAATTTTCTTTTTTTTTTGTTGGTCATTGGTCATGGGGCTTGAACTCTGGGCCTGAATGCTGTCCCTCAGCTTTCCAGCTCAAGGCTAGCTCTCTACAACTTGAGCCACTGCGTCATTTCTGGTTTTCTGGTGGTTTATTGGAAATAAGAGTCTCACGAACTTTCCTGCATGGGCTGGCTTTGAACCACAATCCTCAGATCTCAGCCTCCTGAGAAGTTAGGATTACAGGCATGAGCCACCTGCACCCGGCTTCATTTTCTTTAGTATTCTTTGTCTTAGCATTGAAAAAAAATCAGAAAATTTCTGATGTGGACTTTGACGCATTTCCTCACTTCACCATGAGCCATTCCTTTGGCTCTACTAATTCATTATTTCTTACAAGAAGATAACTTTTTTAACCCAAGAGTATGTGATTACTGTAACATAAAAAATGAGAACCAAACTGTTATTAATGGTATGGTTATTAATGATAAAATACTATAAAAACTATATTCATAATTGTAGCCAATAACATTAACTATGTCAATTTTTTTCTACCTCTCAGTCTTCTTTGACAGTTTGTCTGGGTTTAAATCATTCTAAAATGAGTAGGGGTAACACCATTTGAAAAGAAATGAACTCATTACTTATATAACTGTAACCCCTCTGTCTATCAACTTCAAAATAAAATAAATAAATAAGCAAATAAATAAAAATCATTCTAAAATGAGTAGGACATTTGCAAGGTTGATAAAATATATTCTAGAGAACATAGCCTTTTTCTTCTTCTATGGGTATGAATAGTTTACTCTTTTATTCAATTAACAACTGAGTAATTGGTTATTGTATGAAAACTCAAACCATATAGAAATACAGAGAGTAAAAGGTAGTAAATTTATCCTTTTACCCACTTCCTGCTACTCTCTCCTCACAGGAAACTATTATCAACCATTTGATGTATAGCCTATTCCACCACTATGGTTATATATACTAATGCTATTGAAAGGAGAAAAAAGTCATTTAAGCGAGCAAATTAAGCATAGATGCTTTTATGTTAGGCTACCTGAGTTGAAACCCAGGCTTCTTCTTAGGGTGACCTGAATTTGAGCATGCTATGTAACTTCTTTGTGACTCAGTTTTCACAAAGATAAAATTGTATCCTTTTCATAAATATGCTATGAGACTTAAATCCATATGTGTAAGGTATTTAAATTAGTGTTTGACACACAGCACACAGTTCATGGTAGAATTATGTTGTGTATATGCTATTGGAATTTGCATTTTATACCTATAGTCAAGAAATACAGTGCAGGGATTAGGAGTATGGGCTATGAGTCCAATTGCCTGGTGCTAATACTAGTTCCAATATCTATTAGTTCTGTGGAATTCAAAAAATACATACCCTTTCTTTCTGCCTTCGTTTCCTTTGTACAATGGGAATTACAGTATCTGCTTTTAATTATTATGATATGTGTCTGCTTTCAATTAATATGATATGTAGGACATTTAGAAGAGGAGATATAGAGAATTTAGAATGACTTATGTAGCAACTATTTAACATATATTTGTTATCATTATATCACTATAATATTCAAGTAAGTAACATATCATGGACATAGCCTAAAATAAATAAGCAAATAAATAAAAATCATTGAAAAATGAGTAGAACATTTGCAAGGTTGGTAAAATATATTCTATAGAATGTAGTAAATCCTTTTTATTCTCCTTCTATGGGAATGAATTATTTACCCCTTTATTCAATTAAAAACTGAGTAGTTGATCATTGTACAAAAACTCAAACCATATAAAATATGGGGAGTAGGGCTGGGAAAATGGATCAGTGGTAGAGTGCTTGCTTTGCATGCATGAGGCCCTGGGTTCAATTCCACAACACCATATAAGCAGAAAAAGCCGGAAGTAGAGCTGTGGCTCAAGAGGTGGTGTGCTAACCTTGAGCTGAAGGTCTGAGGGACAGTGCCCAGGCCCAGAGTTCAGGCTCAACGACCAACAAAATTAAATAAATAAATAAATAACATACAGGGAGAAAAAGTTAGTAAATTTGGGTGTTACACACTTCCTGCCACTCTCTTTCTCACAGGAAACTATTAACCATTTGATTTATAGATTATTCCACCAACATGGTTATATATACTAAGGCTATTGAAAGGAGAAGAAAGTAATTTTCTTATTGATGTTCATTTTGGTTATTTTACATTTCATATTCACAAAATAGACTAGTACCATATGTTTTTCTACTTAAAAATAAAAATTAAATTTTTTAAAAATCAAAATATTAATAATAATTAAAAATAATCATATGCCAGTGGCTTACACCTTTAAATCCTAGCTACTCAGGAGGCTAGGAGAGTTGAGGATTGGTTTGAAGCCAACTTGAGCAGGAACATCTGTGAGACTCTTATTTCCAATTCACTGCCCAAATAAAATAGGAGTCTTTGACTTAAGTGATGGAATACTACCCTTGAACAAAAAAGCTTGGGGATAGTGCTCAGGACCTGAATTCAAGCCCCAGGATTGGCACAAAGAAAATGAAAATAATCTACCTTCACTAATAAGAAAAAAGCTACTGCAGCTAATATTTTCTTACTTTGCTGTCATTTGCAACTTGAATAAACACTTTCAAGATCCTCTTTTGGTTGTGTGTAATTACTATACCGCACATGTGATCAACCCACATCATTTTCCTACTAGTTTCTTTCAGTCCTATGGTATGAATGGAAAGCAGAACCATTTTATATGGTTAAAGCTGAGAAACAAACAAGACAAAAAGGACTTTTCCTGTATTTGGACTGCTGGAATCTCAGAAGATCAGATCTTTAGATATCTTGACATTAGGAAAAGGTAAGTCTAAATCCTTACATATTTTTGTTCATATTTATTTTTCTCCAGAAATCCTTAAATAAAGCAGATTTTCTGGAAACATTTTTAGTAGATGCTATAGACCTATAAGATGAAAATTGTTCCCTTTGTTTTCACTGTTAAAGAGGTTATCATTTGTTTATAGACAGGATCATGCTGTGAAAGCCAGGCTGGCCTCCAACTTGATATCTTCCTAACTTAGTCTTGCAAGTGCTGGGATTACAAATGCATGCCACTTTGCCTGGCTTCCTTTTGGAGTTGATGGTGAAAAATGTAAGCCTTAAAATGCACTAAAGAATCATTAAAAGGACTGCAATAAGATTTGAATCTGATTGAACATAAAGTAATAAAAAATAGGAAAGAGAAAAGTGAAAAGAACAATAAAGAATTTGAGAAACCTATTTGTACTTACATTATTGAATAAGGGACCATATTTGTTGTTTACATAAGAACAAATTCATTTTAGGTAGACTTTTGGAAGAGTTTGACACTTTAGACATTTCCAAATAAATTCTAAAAGACAGCTGAGTATAATAATTATCTCTCTCTAAATTTGTATTTTATAAAACACTTGCATTGGCATTATATATAATTATCCTATAGTACCATGGGAAGAAAATAGAAGTATTATTACAATTTCATTAATGAGAAAATTGACATCCACGAATAAATTCTCCAAAGCCAAACAATTAGTGGCCACCTGAAAAAAAATCTGGCTTTATTTTTTAACAAAGTGTATTTATTCTTAATCATTTTTTCTATCCTGTAAGCAACATTGCTTCCCTGCGTCACATCTGTTTCACATAGGAGATAAATTTTTATTTGACATTAAAATGTGCACTGCTTTAGTCAATTCTTTTATATCATAGGAATATTCTACACTGGTGCTTTAGAAAACTTGTCTAATAAAATGCTTGGAGAAGCCTTCCTAATTGGACTTCCATACAAAGAACAGAAATATGGGAAGATTTGCAGAACCTTAACATGTAACAGTACCTCAAGGGATGAAAAAGATACCTGGAAAAGTAAGTTTCTAGATGTAGAAGACAATTCACTGCTCCCTCTTAGGATGGAAAGCCAAGAAAAAATTATGAAAGGAAGTATAACAGAAAAAAGTAATGATACAACTCAAATGAAGTCTGTGGATGAGCTCTCTGTGGCAAAACACAAAAGTGCAACTCTTCCAGGAAATGTGTCCGTTGCATTGCCCATTCCAAAGAGAGAACATGATGAAAGACAAGTGGATTTATATCGATCCTGGTCATGTACGAATATTTGTCAGAATTATCCAGACCTACAGATTGGAGGTGACCATGTGGGAAACATGTATGATTCAGGCTGCTTTGTGGAACACACACATGATGATGTTTTTAATGGCCCCCTTTTGCTTTCAGTGGATATACCATTGGGCCGTTCCTCTATCATTGAGCCTCCAGAGAAAATATTCACTACAAAGTTAGTGAATGGGGATGAAATTCGAGAAAAAAGTATGTTGTTACATAAGGAGCCACTGTCAAATTCTATGCTTAATAGTTACATGGAAAAAAAGGTGAATGAACTCTACAAACAATTTTTGGAAGAAAATCTCACCAGGTGCCGCTCCATAACCAATCTTATGGCTTCCAATCTGCTGATGAATAACGTAAATCAAATTAGTCTTCAAATCTCTCAAGAGCATAACATAGAGATATCAAAAGCCCGGGAAGCTCTCCTACACTCCTTAGCACTATGCAATCTTCATAACATTTCCCAAGGAAACAGCTCCGAAATCAGCACTCCTAACTTGCAAATATCAAAGCAGACAAATATAGAAAGTATGAATCAAGTGTGGGTTAGTAGGACTAAGTTATGAGACTCCAGTAACAACTTTATTCTCTGCCTTAACTGTGTTTTGTGGAGTGGATTTTACATTTTTTTGAGAAATTGTTGACTCATGGTACATTGAGTCCTTGTAAGTGATAATGATCATAACTAAGAAATAGGAATGTCTGGTCTTACTGTTTGACATCTTTCGTTTTTGTACTATTCAAGTTTGGGTGTTCGTTTGTGTTTATCTAAGTGCCCCTAGAACTCCAAATTGATTACCTTATTGTCCATCAGCTTCATTTACCAAGGAAGAGCATTGAGGAGTGCTTCATTGCTGGAAACTACTGAAAAGATCACAAAAGCTGCCATTTATTTCTCATAAAAAGCCATTTATTTCTCATAGAGAAAAAGGATCAGTGTTTCCTCATATTTCTAACACATAGGATCATGTGTGATGACAATCAGAATCACCTAGGGGAAATTTATATATGCATATGCATGTGTAAAAATCTATGGAATAAAACACTTTGAACTCAAATAGAATTTAACTGATATTTGAAAGCAAAATGGAAGGGAAGGCTTAAGGCACAGTAGGGACTTTACTGGTGGTACTACAATTAAAACTTTTTGGTTTGAACTCTCCTTCCGTGAGCATCAGCTTTTTTGGCAGTCATGGGGCTTGAGTTCAGGGCCTTGGGGCTGTCCCTGAGCTCTTTTTGCTCAAGGCTAGCACTCTTACCATTTCTAGCCACAGCACCACTTCCGATTTTCTGAAGGTAAATTGGAGATAACAGTCTCATGTATTTTCATGCCAGGGCTAGCTTGGAACCATGGTCCTTAGATGTCAGCCTCTTAAGTGGTTAGAATTATAGGCATGAGCCCACTGGTGCCAGGTGAGCATCAACTTTTACACATCTGCTTGTTGTGTCTAATTATTTTCAAGGATGGAGGAAGGAAGGTATGTAGGCTGAGTGATCAAAGCAAGAGAGAACCCCCATCATGATTCTGGCTCAGACTAAAAGCAATATATTATGGTAATTTTGGAATCTAAAATATATTAGCAAATTAAACTTTGTGGAATAATGTTTTATTGTAGACATAAAAATAAGACTTCATACTTAGCTTACATTTGTCCTAGAGTAGTGAAATGATTGTCACACCTTTGCTTGCATAATAAAATTGTATGAATATTATAGAATTTATAGGATTGTGTTAAACATTGACTTCTACACTTGTAATCCCATATTTTCTTTTTTGGTCTTTACAAAATGGTATAGATGGAATCAACTCAATGCTCTCCTAGATTGTTCTTTTTGACCAAATTGTCCTTCCATTTAGTTTTAGAATTTTCAAAATTTATGATATATTAATATATTAATACACCCTTTTGTTTTTCTCTTCATCACTGTTTTTCTCCTCATCCTCTGAGATGATCCTCCTAATTATCATCACTGAAAAGACAATGGATAAAAGCTTGGGAAACTTAGTGTCAGGCAGATACTGAAAACCAGTCATGTGCCTGTTGTCTTATACATTAGGTTAGTACTTTTCGTTATTTTGTGTGTTTTACTGGCACTTGAATTCAGTTACTCACACAGCTTGCTCTCTATCACCTGAGGAACACCGCCAGTCCAGCTTTTGCTGGACAATTGGGTAGAGAGTCTTTTAGACTTTTCTTCCAGGATTAACTTTGAAGCACAATCCTCTAAAGCTCAGCCTAGCTAGGATTATAGCCATGAACCACTGGTATCTAACATGTTTGTAAGTTTTTACTATAAAAATTAGCAAAATAAAAAGTTATTGATATTAAATGTATTTTCTAAAATATGTCGTATATATACACAATGGAATTCTATGCTTCTATCAGAAAGAATGATATTGTACCATTCATCTGGAAATGGAAAGACTTAGAAAAAATTATAGTAAGTGAAGTAAACTAGACCCAAAGAAATATAGGTTGTATGGTTTCCCTCATTTGTTGTAACTAGAATGTGCCTATAAATCTATAAGCAAACACACTAGATAGTAAAAGACAAAAATACTACACTTGGACATGATAAATTATACAGGACTCTAGACATTCACGCAATGAGAATAAAGGATATTCTTAGGAGAGAATCACAAAGACTCAATAGCTATGTACATGTGATCATATAAAATGGTATTTACTGAAATGAACTCCAAGAAATGGAAACAAAAGGTTTTTGTTATTTTGCTTATTTTTTCTCCTTTGTTGTTGTTTTTATTTTTTGTAACCTTCACCATGTTTGTAAGTTTATTTGTTTTGGGGAAGGTATGTGGGGAGCACAGAAATGTGGGACAAAAGAACAAATGCAGCAGTGATAATGCTGGAAATGAACTAAAGGGGAGTGAGAAAGGGAAAAACTGGGAGAAAATGAAGGAGAGGGTGATACTTTTCAAAAAGAAATGTACTCATTACCTGATTTATGTAACTATAATACCCTTTGTACATCACCTTTACCATAACAATAAAAATTAAAATGAAATCTTTTCTAAAGTGAACTAAATGTTGTTGGATTTTTGGGGGTGTTAATGATTTTCTTAATCACAGTAATATATTTTAATACTTTATTAAGCGGGTATGTTTACAAGCAGTGTTGAGATAGGATAGTATTATATAAAAACCCTCAGTGTTTGACAGTACTGAACTTATAAATACATTTAACTATCTTCTCAGACTTAACAATATACTTTCTAAATCTATGTGTATTTGTCCCTGTCATAAAAACACCTTATGTACTAACACTCATCATCAAGTTTAATGCAATAATTAAATTAGAAAGATGATAAATTTGATGTTTCATTTTGTGTGTGTGTGTGTGTGTGTGTGTGTGTGTGTGTGTGTGTGTGTTTGTAGGTCATGGGGCTTGAACTCAGAGCCTGGGCACTGTCCCTGAGCATTTTTGCTATTACTTGACCAACAGTTTAACTTCTCCCTTTTTGCTGGTTAATTGAAGATAATAATCTCACAAACTTTCCTGCTCAGTCTGGCTTCAAACTGTGATCCTCAGATCTCATCTACCTGAGTAGCTAGGATTACCACAGTGAGCCACCATTGCCTCGTGTTTTACCTTATCTGGTCATTATACATGCGGACTTTATAAGGTTGTAACTTAGAAAGTTTGATTTTAAGTAGTCATTTTTTAATTGGTTTTCAAAATGGGTATTATACTTATAACCATAGATTTCCCCTTTCAAAATATGGAAAATGAATTCGTTTGTTTCACTGTTGTAAATGTTGAAAGTATGAGTTTTGTGTGTATAAATATTGAGCATGTTCATAGACAGATGATGCAGAGGGCCATCATGTTTATTGGCAGGTAATAAGTTTAGAGGGTTATGAACAATGGGCAATATTTTGCTGCTACCTGCTTATCTAGGTAGGTTTATCTTATATTTTTATATTCTATGTTTGGATTACAGGTAACTATTAGAGGGTCAAGAAAGGGGTTGGCCCAATACTGCCTACTATTTTTGCCAAGAAATCTTGGAGACATTGTAGTCTTCTAAAGGGGTAGTCTGACTTGGATTCCTAGAATCTTGATCTGTGTTATATAGTAGTTGTCAAAAGTAGCCAGTCTCTTTGAGGTTCTTAAAACTGGAGCTAACACTGAAATGGCACAAATTCAAGGATGTATACTCACACATACATACATAGGTATTCATGTTTATATAGAACCATGCCCATATGAGTACTTAGGACTATGTACATAAGCACTTGCATAGTATTTTTCTTTAATAGGTAAATTCAGTGAATATAGCATTACTACATAATATTTCCTTGGGTGAAATGTAGAGGGCTGGTTTGATGAGAAATCAAGAGATGAAACTTGAGTAATTGTGTATAAAAATGCACAATTCTTTTTTATATGTTATTGAAAGGAAAGAAATGAGCAAATTAAAAAAGAAATTTAATGTTTTTGTGACTAGTTCTTAGCATGGGAAACTAGCTAATTGTATATGTGAAAAGTATGAAGAATGAAATAAATATTTGAAAATGAAAAACTTCTGGCCAAAGAGTGTTCATAATGTTACAAATGATGGGTGATAACATGATCCCTGATCAGGTTACTATGTGCTTTTCTTTAAGGCCCAGTTGATATTTGCAAAAATGGCCTTTTATTTTGTGGTGCTGGGGATGGAACCCATGGCCTCCTACACGCTAGGCAAGCTCTTTCACTGAGTTACAAACAATATTATTGGCTTAGTTCTTGAAAATAGATCACATCAGTGGTCACAATTAAATATTGTCCAAATAGCTATACTGAAACCTATGTGTAAAAATGAGGAGAACTGAATTAAGGTATATTGACTTCAGCTCAAAAAGTACCAAATCTTTGTTATGAACAGCTATTTCATATGTTCTGCTATTTCTATTTAAAGTTGAGAAATTTGTAGCTTAGAGAATTGCAATAAAGTTCTGGTTTTTACTTCCTCAAACGAATTGAGGTAGTTTGTCATGGGAAAAATGTCAAATTCCTTGTTTTCATATGATAAGTGCTGAGGTTCATAAGAAAGATGTATTTCCTGAAATTTTGTATGCTCTAAAATTGCTAAGTACAATTTGAGTAGAATTGAACATTTTTAAGAAATATTTCATTATAACCATGAAATCTCCCCTTGTGTAACTTATATAAGACAATAAAAATAATTTTCCTCTTTCCTTTACAAATTCAATTCTGCTTTCCAATTCTGTCATTGTAATTTTATCTTTAGGAGAAGCTTCAGAATTTAGATATAAGGGTTTAATGAAATGGGACCAGTTTGAGTCTGGTAGAACCTTCAAAGCCATAATGAGTTCTTACAGTTTTTTTTTCTCTTTCAGAGAGATTTATCTTCAGAGTAATCTAACTACTACAAAAACTGTTTTTCATTTATCAAGCATATGTTTATTGACCATTAGGATACGTGATGGGTATAAAATGGTGAACAAAATCTATGCAAGTCCTGCTTTTTGCTTAGCTTACAACTTAGCTGTTATAAAATCAAGAGCAATATGAAATCATCCCAAGCTAACTTTAAGATGATGGTAGCTGTAAGATGCAGCTCTAATTAATCTATGCTAGTAGTTCTTCTTCCTTGGTCTGATCTTGTATCAAAAACTGCTGTTCTGTTGATATACATTACTGTGACTCTATTGGTTATTAGCTGTATTTCAATATTTCTATGCTAGCTGCTGACAGGAAGCTGCTGCTCTCAGCATTCTAAGTCTTCCAATCACAACCACAGTGAACACTGCCTCTATTCTCTCTGGGTCCTTTACCTCTTTATTATCCAGCAGCTACACTTTGGTTTTAATTTTCTTAAAGTTCGTAAATAAAAGACCCATTCTTGAGCTTCAAATATTTGACTAGATTGATAGACTCTTCCTCACTCTTATTAATATCCCTTTATTTTTTTGTAGAATTTTAAGTGTTTGTTGTTGTATGTTTCCCTAAAGACACTTACTTATTGATACACGCTGTTTTATGGAATTACTCTTTGATACCTGATTGAGTGACTAAGACTCAATAGTCTGAGAGGGTTACATTTTAAGTATTGGCCATTGAGTAGTCTGAGCTTTAAAATTTATATAATTCTTTTATATGTGATCTCAGATTCAAAAGCTACTTTATATGATTTATAGTGGAACAATTACTTGTGTTGCAGACCCTGAGCAATTACACTTTATAGTTTAACTTTCCAAAGTATCT